GGGTGTGGGTGAGTCTTCTCGCCGCCATTCAGAGCAGGGGGACGGGTGAGGGGCGGTGCGAGGAGACGGGCATGGGAGAGGGAAGACAGACAACCAAGACCCCTGATTGTTTGTCTACATATTGAACAACGAAGATGGGAAACAGAAACAGCATAACTTAAGGAAAAACAAGCAAGAGCAATCGCAAGTTCATAAGAAAGAGGGGCTCGTTTTCCTACAGAACGAAAAGACGAGAAGAAAACAGGAGCACAAAACAGGAGCCCAACCAACTGGGTTCCTGCCCACGCAACAATAGACACAGAATAGACGTGCAACGAAGCACAGAACGAAGGTGGTGAAACGCGAGCGGGAAAACGGTCAGCAAGACGAGAAAAAGACTTTCATAAAGTTGAGCAATCGAAAAACAATACACATTGTCTATATAGAGGTCAACGACAGCCTGTCCGAGCCAGGTCACAAAAGAGGTCACCAGAAGATCGGAATGACAGCAGGCAGACCAAACAACACTCGGGAAACCGTCGACGTTCTGTAACAGCCACTTCCAGTTCCACGACAGATGAAGGTGAGAGGCACCGCTGGAAAAACCTAGCAGAAGGGGCGCAAAAATTTGGCAGCAGTTCACTGGGGGATCAGCTGGAGCGGTAGGCCCGAGGTTGGCAACAAGCAGCAGGAAGGCATAGCAGCAGCCTATAGACAAGGAACAGAAGAGACCAGGCATCCAGGCAGAGAGACCGTTAGGACACCCCGAGAACAATAAGACGAGGAGCAGAAGAGGTCAGCCTTCCAGGGATCTAAACCCTAATCCATGGGAGAGAAACCACGTACCTGAAGTAGGGCTGCCTGGATTCATTCGGCGGAGGTTAGGCACACGGGCCCGGAGGCGAAGGCGGAGGCGGAGGCGGAGGCGGAGGCGGAGACAGAGGCGATAGGAGGTAAATCAAACAACCACCACCGCAATCAAAAAGCCAACCATGTCCATCCCCTCTCCCTATCCTCCCTCCTGCTCATCTTCCTCCGGCACAGCCGTATCTTTCCTCCTGTCCATACTCCTCCACCGACTCCCGATCTTCGCTCCTGCTCATCCTCCTCCTGCTCCCGCGCCTCCCTCTCCGTCCCTCGCGCATGTCCTAGCGACAGGCGCTAGGGGGCCCATTGAGGACACGTTCAGCAAGGAAGAAAGTAGAGGGCGAAGCTGGAACTCTTCTCGATGTGGAGGGAAAACGATTCAATTCAAGGCGACCCTTCCCTCACTCCATGGAACGGAGAGCTGACCGTGGCACCCCGAGCTGAAGCCCTGCTCAGCCCCGATGAACCGTGACCCGAACCAAACCGGAGCTACGACCGACCGCTGACGGGCACAACGGCCACAAACCAGACACAGCGAACGCCAACTTGCACTGTAGCCCACCGCGGTCAGACGGTGAGAGCCCGTAATTCCATCCTGCGAGTCGAAAGAGGAGACCTCCGCAAGATACGCCTTGCGGGGGATAAAACTCATAGGGCTTCTTGTCGCAAGAAACTGCCAACGAAGCAACTTCAGGTTTTTGGCAGAGACAACGAGAAATATAGAGCAAGAATCTGCGACAAGATTCACCTGTGGGGGAAAAAAAGAACGAGGAAATGCCTTCAATGTTTGATTGCACATCTTCCAATCCCAAAATTTTGCAGTTATCCAGACAAATGAAATGTAGAGAACGTACCAACTGGCCTACCTCAGTCCGTACACCCCTGAACTCGTGAAATACAGACCTGAGTTCAAACTCCCCAGATGAGTAAAATACCACAATTCCGAATTACCTAGCACCCGTCAGTTTGATTGATGATCATATCTCGAGGCCTTGGCCCTTGGAAAAAAAAGAGGAAAGAGAGGGCAAAGGAGAAGACCATTTCTCCGTTCATGTGTGTCAGGGCCTTCGACACCACTACAAAAGCCTTACATCTAAGGTTTTCATCGTTCCACACCTCCCTAATCCCAAAGAAAAAGAAGTCGAACTTGTTTTCACATTCGCGGAGTAAGGGTTGGCCCTACAAAAGTAAGGACTCCCCAGCCAAAACGGGCCTTGATGTAAGGAGGCCCGTGGAGGTGAGTTGAAAGTAGGGGGTGGCAACCTTACATCCGCGAAAGAACCATTTTTATTTTTTATTTTCAGGTGTGTCTTTCAGCCACTTAGAACGCAAACAGAGGCACCGGAAATGTAAGTGCGCCTAAGTGTAGGGTTTTTGTAAGCGGTTGTGGAACGAAAAATGAGGTAAGGGAAAATTATTCACTTTTTCGCGGTAAGGGCACCCTTACAAAGTCAGCGTTTTGTAGTGGTGTCGAACGAGGCCCTCATCCTTGCGCAGGGCCATGCTAATCTTCGCTGAGGAAAGAGAAGAAGGAAACATAGAGGATGCAAGAAAAGAAATAAAGGCGGCCATAGACACTGCTGTTACTCTATGGGGGAGGGGGAAGTACATGCGAGGCGCAGCGACTGGCAAAATGCTCAGTCTTGGGGGGGAGTCGGCTGACGGCGCTGTTTTTGTGCTGGCATTCAGCTCCACTACCGGTAGCGTCGCTACATGGGGCCTGCCCGGTAATGCACTCTCACCGTGGGAGCTGCAGTACTGGTTTTTGTCTTCACTGCAGTAACTTTTCCGCGGTAACACGCGGCGGTGTGACACGTGGAGATTTGGGCAGCCATAGCCATTCAAGATCCTTAGAGTTCAGGATGGGAAAAGCTAATAGGAGTAGTTGAAGACTGCGGAAGACGACAAGCTCACAAAATGTTTAAAGAGTTTCAACACCGACTGGCTTGCATAACCTGCATTCGACACCGGGTGAACTCGGCATGCACCCTCAAAGGGCCCACCACTGAGGGGAGTAGTTTTTGCTTACTCTTTTGTGGTAAGTAGGTTAGACAACTTGTATTTTATGGTATGCTAAAATTTTGATTCGGCACTGCTAACAGATTGGATCGAGTTGCTTTTTAGTGTCTTGCTTTCTTTAGCTAGCATGATCGTGATAACGTTGCTTATCTGTTTAACTTCCTTGGATCGTAATCTTACAGATCTGCTTCTCAAAAATATTTAGTTGAAAGACTGAGGCGTTTTTCCTTAAGTATGTGTGAAAAATAAGCACAACCTTACTTTTCCATGTTCGAGTTACATGCATCATTATGAGAACGGAGGGTTGTACAAGCTACAGCTCACCCTAAAGACGTTGGTCCTCTCATCGATGCCGAGCCTGGAATGCCCCTGCGCGCCAATACTTGGCCCAGCTATCGATGCCGAGCCTGGAATGCCCCTGCGCGCCAATTTTCTCAGAAGCGTCGGGGTACCGTTTTGAAATTTTTTTGGTTGGCGCTTCTAGCCATTGTGGTCTGGTACCCCGAAGCCCTAAGAGCACAGCGCGTTAACGGGAAAGCGCCGCGGCCGATAGTTGGGCCAAGTACTGGTGGTTTAAGGTGCTTTCTTAGTTATTGACTCGCTCACAAGATATACTTTCACACTGGATGAGAGCAGTCAAGCACGCAGAGGTTAAAATGGATGAGTATGCCTCTAACGGAGCATGCTTTCCCCCTCTAACTCCAGAAATACTGGATATCTCATAGACGAGGGTAAGAGAGTTTTTGGCGCAATGCTATGAAGAGGGCAATGTTTCGTATAATATATTGTGTGAGAGCGTGAAAATTATTGGCAGAGAAACTCTGATTAAAACGAATTCAGAGTTCGACAACACCAAGATGAGATAGATTAAGGAGCAGATTGTAGTCGTTGTCTTCCTTAATGCAGCCAAGGATTTCCCAAGGGAAGTTAAAGTTGATCCGACAAGAGTCTTGAAGAACTGTTGGAGTAGGGACAATGTGTTTGATCCACCAGCTCCTCGTGGGATTATCTTTTTCAAAGGACCGAATGTATTGTCTTATGTAGCTAGGAACGATGTGATATCAAGATGGATTATTGAACAGAGAAAAGGGAAGGTAGAATCCTTTGGGCTCGAGTACACTCTCAATTTATGACATTGGATGGCAAGGCTCTGATGGAAAGATTTTCATAGAAGGCATGAAGAATCTCCTTTTTGGATCATGGCGTTTCAAGTGTTATTAGATTTGTTTGCGTATACTAAAAATTCAATTGTTCGAATCATTGGGCACAATAACGAGGGACTACCCTTCAGTCAGAGACCATACAAAACCAGAGCTTATGAACCTCAAATACGATGTTGACCCTCAACTTAAGACAGATGATGGTCGACCGTATACGGGTTGAAAAAGACAACGGGATCTACGAGCTAAGGTTCGCTTCATCTTCTAACCCCTTTAAAAGATGTAGAGTTTTTTTTCATGTCGAGGACGAGTGCACAAGGAGCTTGGGGGCAACTAGTGCGAATCAGAAATGACAAAGAAGTTAAACTAAAAATGCACAAGGCAGTTATAGAGCAAGACCGTCCAATAGTTCCAAGCAAGCAGTCTCTCAAACCAGTGGAAGGGTGGGCAGTTATCAAGGAATCCTAGTCCACTGTAACAATCAACGATCAAAATCTTCGATCAAGAAGGATCAACTCGACATCAACGTTTCAGGGAATGCATAGGTTATAGGCCGGGAGTTCGATTCTCATTAGCACAACAACCCGTTGTTTTCACCCAAACCACCTTAACCTGCTAAACATGTGTCTGTAACATGGGACAACCAGTTTCAGGGACATCCCAATACTGAAATGTTCATCAAGGTAGGCTCGAAGACCAGAAACGCGCCTTTCAACAATTATTTACTGCAACTACAATAGGAGATAGAAGCGATGATGCACCTGCAACACACAACTCACCTCATTGATCATGGCACCATTAATTTGAGGATTAAAGAGGCAGTTGAGTCAGGAGTTGTTGTTGGTTTTCAACCTTTTCAGAATTCTTCACTGCGAAGGCTACAACGAGACGTTCGGGGCTGATTACCTCTTAAGGTCCTACGGATTACAGCTACGCAAAACAGTGGAGAAGGCAGCAGTACAGCGGTAGTGGAAGATGGGGGGTGTGAACAGCGAGAATTCACAAACTTTTGTTGCAAGCTCGGACAAATCAGCAGGTGCGATCCGGATGACGCTACCATCTCTGAAACCAAGGGCAAAAATATCAAGAGTCCGGTGTTTTGTAACTATAGGTAGAGAGTAGTTAGAAGGATTGAATAAAAGATTATCGCCCTTTGTCTGTTCGCTGATCAAGGATGTTGTACAAGTGTTAGCATGACTTTTTTTGTAAGAGACAGTTTCCTTTCACTCCTCACCAACGGAGGAGTTACTCTCCTCAAACACAACATTGGCCTTAGCAAAACAAAGCTATGATAATTTCTTTCCTATTAGATTAATTAATACAAATTTCATGCATAAATTATGCTTAGATTATCAATACCGCAAATTAAATTTTGGGGTGTCGTTGCTTGATGCTTATATTTAAAGAGACTAGTTGGATAGCTTGTCAAAAAACAATTTCAAACTTTTTCCTTTCTTGCAGGATGAGAATAGCGACCTTTACAATTTCCACAAAAACAAGAAATCATTGTATGTTTTTTGACATACTTAAATGTCAAACTCCCAATAAATAAAAAAAAAGATTTTTTTTTTCAAAGTTTTTCGGTTCAAAAATGAACCCAATCTTCATCTACAAACACTGCGAACGACCAGGGTACTTCAACTGCTCAAGGCACAACCATATGACTATAGATATAGTTATGGTGGACAACCGGATCCAACACTACTAGACAACAGGGTTGTCGATGGACATACTTAACGTAGCAACATGGAATGTATGGGAGTTGGGAGACGATGTTAAGTTTATCGGGTGACATTCACAGTAGAACTGCGTTATATGTGGTATGATGCAAAGTTTGTGGGTCCGCAGACAGACATTCAAAGAAAGCTAAATTATTTTATAGTTAGCCCATTGTGGTTTGAGGCACTGGTAAACAACAAGGTGGTGAGAGACCCTCTATCATATCACAACTCCTTGTTAGTCACATTAAAGATCGAGGAGTATACGGATCAAGGCAGAGGTTATTTTCGAACACAACACTACTAAAGGATGAAGAAATAGAAAGGTGGATCGATAAATTATAAGCGAAATAATCATAATATCTTCATCTATTTTAATCCACTGATGACTGGTGGGATGGCGGTTCAGTGATCACAACAAGTGTACTAAGCGTGTTTTCAAGAATTACAGCAGCAAGAAGGAAGCAAGATAAAATAAGGATCAGGGCTATATTGCAGAGATTAAAGAAATGATAAAATTACACCCCATTTCGACTCA